TATAAGAATTTACAAATTTTTCCTTAATAATTTTACTAATTATTCACATATCTCCCTTGTAAAAAAGAATTTTCAATACTAAGTCTGATCACTTTTATTGATGAAACTCAATATAATAGTTAATTTATTTTGAAAATTAGTAGGAGTTTGAAAGTTCTATTTTTGGTTTGAAATTTTAAAATCAGAAAATGAAAAAGGAGTTGTCCAGAAATAAAATAAACAAACTTTTGAGAAACCTGAACCTTAAATCTGAAACCCCCTAATAAAGTTTTTTTAGGTACAAAAAAATTTGAAGCAAAAGTTATTTTATTCATGATTGAATGAAAAAATCAAAATTATTTATCAAGAGTTTATCAACTAAACTCTATACATTTTATCATAGTTTGTGAAATTTCTTTCCACATCAAAAATAAGAGGAGGCAGGACTAGAGGCACATGATATTTTTTTTGAGAGCCAATCCTAATCAGCTGAAATGATTGTATTTTAAAACAATTCTTACACTTTGGCTTATAACTGTAATCAGGATACAATATATTATGGACTTGCTTTGCGTAATCTGCTAATAGTTTGTAAAGTTGTTTAATCTTATTACTTTCTTTTGACCAATTTATGCTTGCTTTTTTTGAAATAAAATTAAATTTGCTTTTTACATCATTTCTGTTATTATTCAAGTTCCTTCTATATAATACAAAACTATTTTGAGGTCTTGAAATTTGCTGTTCTCTTCTATTTATACTTGGTGCAATAATTTGATCAAAAGGTAAGACTATTGTTTCATTAATTTTTTCCAGTGTTGCCTAATCGATATTTCTGATAACATGGTTTATGATTTCTATGGTTTCTTTTCTTTTGAATGGAAAAAATTTTGTTGACAAAGGCTTTTATCGTAATGATAAAAAAATATTTTAAAGATTCATGACTTTTTTCCTTAATAGTACTATATCATATTTATTTTTTTTAAATTAATATTTATAGTTAAAGACAATACACCAAATAATTCAAACTCGCCTCATAGATTTTTTTTTTTATATTAGAACATTTTGAATTCAATAATTCAATACAAAATTGATTAAATACACATAACAATAAGAAATATTTTCTGCACGCATTACATAAACTTATTACAATTTTACAATACATACATTTTAAATTTTAGTAAATCAGATTTATGTAATTATCTAATATACCTTTAAAGCTCAACCAACATTATTGCAGCTTCTTAATCACTGAAAATTTTAAAATTACTTAGTTATTTTGAGTTATAGAAAAGTGTGACCCTGTGATTAGGGTGTTCAGAATTTTTATTCGTTATTTTCTGTACATAATTGTACAGATTTTTAATCTTGATGTTAACAATAATAAAATTGAAGGTGATTTTATTATTTTACTTTTAATTTTATTCATTTTATATTCATTACATAATTCAATTTCAATTTCAATTTACAGAATGGAAACCCAATTGGGAATCAATTGCAAATATATTACTTAATAGTGAACTAATAAACTAAGAACTTCAATTTACAAACATTACCGATTTCAAAAAAAATTCAATTTCTTTCGGTAATGATTTAAAATCAATCAAACAAGGATTTGCTTTATACAAAGACAGAGAAGATAAAATTAAATATTTCCATTTGGAAGTCAAGTTAGCTGCAATATATAATTTTATTAATCTTGCAAAAGAATATATTGCATTATTAAATTTTGTTAAAAGAAGCACTCTGAATGACTATAAAAGTACAAGTTTAGAAGTTAAAATTTCTGAAGCAGTTCCTTTAGACAAAAATGCAAACTTCAAATCAATTAGACAATGGATAAGGGCTAGAGTTATAAATATACTTGAAATTAAGTTGACAAAATATAAGACCAAAATATAGACTAGATTAATTAGAATTAACTTTTACAAAATTGCAACTATTGAAGCCCTTGCTTAAGTCAATGCCTCTCCATAGTTTTTCAAAATGATATCTAAACTAGAATTCAATAAATTTTTAGAAAAGATAATAAACGGAAAGTATATTTTTGTTATTAATGAAGAATTCGATAATTCTTTAAAATTTATTAAAGGTATTAAAATTTTTTGTTATATCATAATTTATTGTATTAAACATACTAACAATTTTTAATTAGATGCAATGAAACCACCTGTTGACATTGAACTGATCGTGTGATTAGTAAAATAGCTATTGCATAAATCTCATTTTTATTGAGATTATATTGACTTCCTGTATTCTTATTTGATTCAGTATAGTGTAATATTCTTGTCTTCAGATTATAATTCTTATTGTTTTTTATATCTTTGCTTACTTTCTATGCATACATATGCTCAAGTTTGCAGAACCAATAATCAGATTCTAAGTCATACATATTATGCCTTAGTTTTTTTTTTTTGCATACTTGGCAACTTACTAGTAATCCTTTTTCTTCCTCGATGGTAAAATATTCTATTCTTTGCAGATTATTTTTATCAAGAATTCTTTTGTGAAAGTCTTTATAGCATATTTTACATGTCGTAATTCCATTTAAATTCCTTAATTCCTCCAGTTTCTGTAGCTCTTTACAACTGCAACAATGACTGGTTCTTCTTTTACTATGATAATATTGTCATCGTTCTTCAATTTCTTCTTTACTGCATTGGCATTTATAATGTTTGTTTGCACATTTTAACCCCTTTTTTTGATAGTCTATTTTAATGTGTCCCATCTTATTGCACTTTTGGCATTTGTTTTTTGGGCAATTTCTGAAACAATGATCATAATTATGACATTTACTGCATACATTTTGTTTATAAGAATTCATTATACTGTATATTAGATTATTAGATTATTTGAAGAAAATTTACTTGAGAAGAAAGAAAATAGTAAATATTATTTTTTATAATTATAAACTTTATAATAAAAGTTAAATTAAACATTTATCTAACTATCATGATTAAGTAATGCCAAGAGAAAGTTTATCATTTATTATTTACTGAACTCTTTGATTGAGGATAAATATGATTAAGTGACACCAAGGAAATGTTTATCACTGATCAAAGATAACTATGATACATGGATTTACTAATTTCCTTCCATATTTCTATTGGCTGAAGGCAAATTTTGTTTTCTGTTAAATAAATCACCGATCGGGTGGCTGAAAAATTATCGTTATGCACCGCAATTAATATCACTTCAGATAACAGAGCGATTATTTCGTAATAATTACATTTTTATTAAAATATTTTTTTTACCATTAATACTAATGTTTCTTTCTTTTGAATTCAGTGCTCTTTATGATCGATTAAACCATTTTGGAAGCTTTTTTTTTTCTAATTCATCAAATTCATAATAAAATAATAAAAATTGCAAGACAAATTAAATCATTTTTTTACATATTATAATACCTATTTTATCATGTAAAATTAGTGAAATAAACATTTTCATTAGACTATTTTATATTGTTCATTATGTCAGTTTCGCTTAATATCGATGATATTTTTGATATAGATGAGGATATCGATATAAAAATAAGCGATAATAAGCTTGATAACATGCTTGACTATATTCTGGATGCAACAGATTATGTTGGTCAAGCATAGAAGACTGTTAATGATGACATGGAGGTTTCAGAAACAGAAAGGATAAAAACTTATTATCTTCCTATAGATGAATATGAAAGATAGATCAGTAATCTTGAACAAGCGAGTCTTAGCTACTGTCAACATGATCATTGAGCTGGAAAGAAAAAAATCTTGTAGAGCAAAAGTGGTATTGTCATTGTCATGGGACCTACGAGAGTATTGCTAGAAAAGACGTTAATAAAAAGCCATGCTTGGCATAAAAGAAAAAGTTATATTCACGTTGTGTATCCTATTAACTTGCAAATAGTAACTTTAAAGTACTATTATAAACATAATAACCATTACCCTGATAAATTATCAGATTTATGCACATTGCCTCTTTCTGAAAACATCTGATAATTTATTAAACAGCGTGCTCTCAAAGGGCTAGACGTTTTTAGCATACAAAAGCTTATGCGACATCGGGCAATTGAATTACAAAATCAGGTTTTTATTTAAATTTTTTAATATCATTTTTTTTATTTATTTTAAATTAAATTACAATTTGAATTTATTTATGTTTTAAATATTTTAATATATTTTATTAATAATTTAAAATAACAATCAATTTTTTTAAATTAACAATTTTTTTTTTATTATTAAATTAATGATTTTTTTTTTATTTTATTAAATTAATGATTTTTTTTTTATTTTATTAAATTAACGATTTTTATTTTATTAAATTAAGTTAATGATTTTTTCTTAAAAATCTTTATTATATTAATCTAATAAGGAACTATAAATAGTCTTGAATTAATTAGTTAACCAAACACCCCAACTTAGCCAGCATTAATAATAAACTATATGATTTAAACAAGTATTCTAATGTCTATATTACAAGATCATGTTTGATTCAATTTGCTAAGTTAAATTAATGATTCTTTAATTGGTTGCTCTATTTTTTAGAACACTATATGTTCAAAGAATCAATTTTTTCATATTAAAACATTTCACTAATTTATTAATTGACGTGATATAAAATTATACAATATATTAATAAAAATAAAGATGTTACTCTGATCAAAAATTTCAAATTGATTAGAAATTACCAAGCGGTAGTAGGTTTCCCAACCTATTTACCAAATCAGGTCTGGCTGAATCAGAGAGCTAGAACTTCTGAAATTCAAATAGTAAGGCTTAAAAATTTTTGCTTTGTTCTCTCAGTTCAGTCATATATGTAAAAATTTTTATACTAAAAATAAAAAGGTTCTACATCTACCACTTTATTAAATTTTCTTATTCATATTATAATCGCACCATATTTTAAATAATTTTTAAATAATAAAAATAAATAAAATAAAATAAAAATAAATTTAAAAAAAAAACAATTTTATGAATTACGTAATCTAATAACTTTACACACTATCAAAATAAAGTATTGGTATTATAACAAATTAATTTTTAATCTACCTCTTTCAATAAAATTTTTTTTAGCTCTTGAATTATCTTTTCACTATCATCCAATTTTTGGATTATTTTATTTTCATTATCTGTTAATTGTTGAATTTTTTCATCAATTGTTTTATTCTCTGTTTCTGTTTTGCCTATGTGAATAATTTTTAATAATGAATTAGAAAGGAATAGTTTCTTGATAGTCTTATTCCAATTATTATCTTGTATTTTAGTAACTATATCATAAAGGTTGTCAAAACTAAAATTATAAAATCTTTAAATATTAATTAATGTTAAAATTATATTATATATATATATATATATATAAAACAAGCATTTTACAATAAATTAGAATAAATTAATATTTACATAAGCTCAGGAAACCAATTATTTTTTCTACGTTGATATGGTAGCATATAAAATAATTCCATTTCTAATAAAATCTATATAAAAATACAAGTAATATTATTGGTTAAAAATAAAGTTATTGCAATATTAAGCTAATATTTTAATAAGATATTAATTATCTTTGCTTTTTGGAGTAAAAATAATTCTTTTTTATTTGTTTCATTAATAAAATTTGATAGCAATCCAATAAATAGATTCATTAAATAGATAGTTGTAAAAAAAGAAAAAAGAACTATCAAAATTGTTAGTATTATATTTTTAGTTAATGACCAATTAGATACAGAGGATGAATCACCTATAAATAGATATAATAAATAGTTATATAATTAAAATAAATAAAATTATTTTAAAAATTTTAGATAAAATAATTAAAGACCTGTTAATATTATATATACAGCCAAATATATAGTACCTAAATTTGTAAACATATTTGTGTTTAATTCTTCTGAATTATTTAGATCATTTGAAGTATTAGTTGTTGGCCTTAACAAAATATATAAAGAGTGTGCAAAAGCAAATATAATAAAACCTATTATTACAAAAAAAGACAAGGAATTTTGTATAACTCCAATAATTATGTACTACCAAATTCAATAGCTCGAAAGAATGTTATAAGTTTAAGTTCAAGTAATAATATAGAAATTGTAACAGCCCAGATTGGTGTTGTAGAAGATTGCAACCAATCAATAGAAGTTAATATAGGAAATAATATTGCAACTGCGTCTTAAAAATATATTTAAATATTATTATTAGTTATATAGAAGTATTTACAAATTTATTATTAAAAATAAAAATTAAAACTTAAATACCAAAATAATTCCAAATATCAATAATCCAAGATAGAGAATCATAAATACATTGCTGAATTTCAAAAGTAAGATGTAAAAATCCAAGAATAATAGTTGTAATTAATAGTGAATTTTGAATACTATTAGATAATTTATTTATCGTAGTAACTATCAGAAAGCAGATTATAAAAATAAAATAAAAACAAAAAATAGCAAAAAAATAATATTTTCCATAAGTATTCCACTTAAAATTAAGAAGTGCTTCCCCATGCCAATATTTATAAAGTTCAGGAAATTGTTGTTTAGAAAATATGCTAAAACTAGGGAAAATTAATTCTTTCCAAGAATTATAATTACTATTGTAAGAACTAAACTTTGGTAATGGAAAGATTAAAATTACAGTTTGAAAATCTTTATAAAATAACTTTTTCATCCTCTTTTTTAGAGTATTAAAGATAGAAAATTTTTCTTTAAATAAAATAAAAAATCGTCTAATATACTGCTTAATATTACTATCAAAATAAGGATGTAAATATTTTAAATAACTCTTAAGATATGGATCTGAAAATAGGTAATTAATTTCTTCAAAGTTGTTAGTTAAATAGATAAACAAAGCATGAGACAAAAATTCTTTTAGCAATCAAGGAAATTGGGCTAATTCTATAAATGAAAAAGTAAAAATATCTAATAACTGAATATTAAATAAAAAGTTATTATCTTCCATTTTCTTATATATTTTACTACATAACTTTTCTACTATTGAATAATTTTTACAATCTAAACAAAACCTTAGAAATTCCCACCCATATAATTTTAATAATATTTTATCATCTTCTATTTTTTTTACATATTTTACTATATAATTCTCCTACAATTGAATAATTTTTAAGGTAAAAAAAACAACTTAGAAGCTCCTGCCAATATAATCTTAATAATATTTTATCCTCAATATAATTCTCTAGTAACTCTTTAAAAAGGTATCTTCTATCTTTTGTTTATGGTTGTTCATAATTAATTATAATAAAAACAAAATCTGATAATACAGTAGTAATGAATCTTTATTATACTTTTGTATACTATCTAATAAAATTTTAATCCCTGATTTTTTTCTTTCAAACATGTAATATCGCAATCTAATTTCATCTTTCTTACCTTTCTAACAAATTGACTATATAAATAAGCCAAAATCTGTAATCATTGCTAAATCTTCATTATTTAATAAATTACAACTAAAAACTTTTAATAATTTTGCAACCTGATTTTCATAATCTCCTACAAGCTTATAATGAACTTTTTTAAATTTATCAAATTCTACACTATCTACAGATTTCCAAGTGCCTGTATCAAATTTCAAAGCTTTTATTATTATTTCTTTCTCATTATTGCTTACTTTCAACTTAACTAATGATCTATCATATGATTTTATTTCTAGTAATTTAATGGTGAAATCTATATCTTTATTTAAAAAATTTTCTAAAATATTCTTGATTTGAAATTTACTAGGTAGAACTCTTATTTCATTGTAATCTTCTAATTTTTCTCACAGATATTTGATCCATTGTTCATCAGAGACCTCTTTAACCCATAAATATCTATTTAATATAAAATATATTTTTTTATCCATTAATGTTTTAAATTTTATGCTTTGCATTAACTTAGTTAAATTTTTTCATTTAATAGTTCTAATAGTTCTTCATAAAAATTTGCATCAGTTTTATTACTAATAACATGCTGAAGGTTGTAAGGATCCCTTATTTCAAGATTACTATGAAAAAATATAAGTAATCTTTCTATTTCATTAGATAAAATAAATTCAAAATGTGATATATATCTTTCCAATTAACCTATTAATTAATTAATTAAAATGATAGATTAGTAAATCACATCAGTATTTAAATTTACTAGAAATTTTTATAGTAGAAATTTTTACAGTTACTACTAACTTAGAATTTCAGATTTTTTTCAGCTATATACAAATTTAAAGAACTTACATTGTAATAAAAGCACTAAATTTTCTGTCAAATAAATATAAAAAAAAGGGTTTAGATATAATGCAAGTAAAGTAGAATTTTTATTAAAAATGCTAAAATGTCTGTCCAAAAGACTTTTCCATCCTATCTATCCTAATTGATATTGTTTTTCGAATAATAATGTATTTAAATTCCATTGTATTAATGATTTACAGTTATCAATAAGAAAAATCTTTTCTTCATTTATCTGACAATTTTGAATGTCTTTAAGTGCACCACAAAAAATTGAATTATTTATCTTCTAGCTTTGCAAATTGTTGCGTATAAATGAAAATTTAAAAATATATTGGCATTCATAATCGTTTGCAACTATTAAAAAGTCTCCATTATTACAGAATCTACATTCTGAAAAGTATCAACATCTGTATGGATAAAATTTCAGTTCTATTTTCTTCTTTGTCGCAAGATTAATGATCTCTTTAAAATGAATAAGTGGTTTAGAATTATTTTAAGTATTGTGAATATTATCAATTATTATATTTGCTTGTAACTAACCAATCGATTCTCGAAACGAACTTATTGCGGCAAGTCTATTTTTTGAAACTGCAACTAAATACCTTATAAAAAGTTTGTTCAGTTATTGTATGTCTGAAAATGTTCAGAATAAAGACAATTTTCTGAAAATTAGTACGGTATTGTATAATTTTTATACCGCGATATAAAAAAAAAATTTGGGGTTGATAATATTAGGTAAAATATTCAGTATGTTCAGAAAACTGACTCCATTCCATTTTTTGAACAAAAACAAAAAAATATTTAAGAGCATTGCCAACAAAATTTGAACAAAATTGTTATATAGGGATGATTCTTACAAAAGTTTTTAATATTTATTGAATAGTCAAATTTGAAAGGTTTAAGTTGTTGTTGATATGATTTGTTTTCTGATTGCTCGAAAGGTTAATCAAGTTGCTATCCGCAAATTAATTTATCAATTTCACTCCATATACTGTGTACTTGCTATTTGGCAATAATAGAAGCTCCGTTATTCTCTTGCCATTGTGTAGTTTAGTTAGCTCAGGTTCAATTTTAATTTATTCTTCATATTCTGATTTTGATACTTGTGAAAATTCATCTTCATTACTCATTTGTGAAAAAACAAAATCACTTGCTTCGTATACAATTTAATTCTTTAACAAAATATGGCTTAGAATACTATTTGGCATACAATATTTGCAATGTTTATATAGGCTTAGTTAAATGACTATTAAACTTGTCAACTTAAGACAATTAAGCAGGTTAAGGCTAAGGTTTATTGATTTGGAAAATTTACAATTATTTGTAAGCATGACTTTTAGGCTTTAAATGTAATGCACGAATTCAAACTTAGTATGCTTTACATAATTATGAAAACTCTCTTTATGTAAATCCTGTTTATTACTTAGAGAAGTATCAGATATCAGCTAATATCATGGTGTAGGGAGGAGAAAGACAAAATCTCAGATCTTAATATATACATATAACCAATCAGAATGACTAAACTTCTCAGAAGTGAGGGAGAGGGTGAGCTCTACAGTAAACTGATCTCAGCTAATATCTGACATGTACCTTACTGTAAAACAAAAAATGCATGTATTGTATTATTGATATTAGTTAAATAAATTTAAATTTTTCTATTGGTCAGATAATGAAAATCAAAACAACTTAATTTATCATATTGGTCAAATAAATTATAAATTTTTCTATTGGTCAGATTTATGAAAATCAAAACAATGTAAATTACTTTAATTGTGATTTTTCAAAATTTACTTAAATTAGGCCAGTTTAATATTAGAATAAGGTTAACAATCGATATACTCTATTGAGAAAATTACAAATGGAGCGAATGGAGTCAATGGCTTCAATAGAAAAATCCAACAAAGCCGATGAAGAATAGAGTTCTAACCTGATAGTTTAACCTGTTGAAAACAGGTTAAACAGATCAATATTAATGGAGTTGGTTGTCTTCTACTGGCTCTATTCAGAAATTATTATCAATAAAGCAATCAATAGTTATTTTCTATTCATCCCAATGAATAAATATACCAACCTTGAGTAAGGGTAAGGGAATTGCTTGTGAGGTTAGGATAATAGTAAAAGTTTTTTCATCACACTTTCAATAATACAAATACAGTAATTCAAAAAAGATATTTTTTTTAAAAACAAATACATTGCAGAATTTGCTTTTTGACATTTGACAATAAAAAGATAATTTAATTCATTAATATTTTTGTCAAATAATGAATATATTACATTGAATTATCTAATTAATCTCATTATTATTCAAAATAATTTCCTATAGTTTATATTTCTTGTTAAAAGAGATCATTAATCAACTAAAATAATAATACTTGCAGGATTTTGCAGGAGCTTTTTTTTTTTTCTGAATGATCCAAAATCCAATCCAGTTCAAAGTTGTCTCTGAAGATAATTTTTAGTCTGTTTTATTTGAAGTAGCAAAATCTCATGAAAATACCATATTTAAGCATACAATGATGAAACTTAAAGATCCTTCTGTTTAGAAACAGTTCTAATATTTTTAAAAAATGCATTTATGAATTATGACAAATTTTATTTTTATGCTCCAATGTTCTAAACGTTATAATACTTTTTTGTTATCTGGCATGATTTGACTTCCACAGATTTTTATATTAATACAGTATCTGTTAATAGTTAATATATCAGAAAATGACATATTTTACGTAATAATATTCGTAAAATTTGGTGAAATATTATCCTCAATTTAGGGTCTAATTAAAAGGCCCAATTCTGCTGATCTGCCGTAATGATTTTATTTATTGTATAATTAATAAGAGAAAGAATACTAGTTTTTTATTCTATTTATATATGACTTGGCTCTATCAAGCTAAACATATTATAGTAGACTCTACTTTTGCTACAATTAATAATCTAACTGATAGCATATAAGATCATGCCTCGACATAGTGCATAAGATACTGGTTATCAATACAACAGTCACTCTTATTATAGTGAACAGTTCATATAAAAACTCTCCTCTTCATAAAGAAAAGTAAGTCAGGTATTTTGGTGTGGGTGGGTAATTTGGTGCACTTAGGTTTTTCAGCTATAATCCGTTAAATAGCACTCAGAATCAAATTATATTTCGATTCATCTCATTGAAACGATTAAAATTGCATGTTTTAATTACTGAACTACAAAATAAATGAAGGTCGAATATTATGATCCATGTATTATTCACGTGATTAATTTTTCTTTTAATTTTACTATGTATTTTCCTCATTTTTTCAATATTTTTTTTTACTATGAAATTTTTGGTAACTAATTTTTTACAAAAATATTTCCTGATTTTATAATTAGTATATTATTAGTCAAAATCACAATAAGTAAATTTATTGAATTCAAATTCAAAATTCTAATAAAAAAAAATTAGAAGTCGATTGATTGATTTTTTTTTTGTTTTTTTTAGCATATTGTAAAAAATAAGTCTTTAACGTTAAAATTCTTTGCGAGTTATTGTCCAAATAACTAATTTTATGTACAATATAACTGCATGTTTAGAATTAAATGCCCTTTTAATATTAATCTTATAACTCATGTAAAGTTATTATTTGAATATTCACATTATAAAACCATATTATATTCCAAATTAATTTACATAGATTTTTTTTTATTTAACAAAATTCTTAAGTTTTTTGCCAAGAGTATTTATCAAAATTTTTCTATTTACATATGCAAAGCAATTTATCGTTACATATATCTGACTTGCAAAAGTTAAAATATATCAAGCTTTACGTGTTGACTTTTTTTTCTCTTTTCTTGGATTGTTAGATTTTTTAGCAATTTTCAAGTTATGAGCTACAACTATAATAATATTCTATAAGTAATATTTATGTTAAACAGTTATTGCTAAAACAGATATTATATTGATAAACTAAAAAAGCTTTTTAAATATACTCATACTAATAATAGTGCATAAACTAAGTCTTGAATATTTTCCTATGATGTATTTTCTAAAGATATACAGGCTTCAGTAAGTGGAAAATAAAAGTAAAGATTATCTTTCTGTTGAAGTTCATATATCTTCATATAATCGCCTATAAAAGTTAACATTAGTTTTATATATAACATTAAATATCATAAAATTCAACTTACTAGCTATATTTATGCCTAAAATTGTGAAGAAAAAATGAATATTTTTATTGTCTAATCTTTTCCGAGTGGTTATATAATTATATCTTTCCTTGCATAAGTAAACTAACTTGTTATAATTAGAAAAAACTTTTTGATTAGTAGTTAGACATCGACCACTTTCAACATAAAGCAACTCAAGATGATTCTCACCGATTTTTATAGTAAACATTATATCCAGATGATCACCAACTGCAGAGTTTGAAAAATTTGTTAACTTATAATTTTTACTAGCAAGACTTTGCTTCTCTCCTTTAAAAATATATAAAAAAAGTAGTTGACTTATTTTCAAAACATAAAATAACCCAATTTAAAAATCAACACAAACTTACTTTAACTCATATTTAAAAAAAATTTTTTTTACTAAAAAAAAAAAAAGCCGCGCGCCCGCGTCACTGATCACTGTCCCATGATATGAAAACCAAGTATATAATTTTGTGCGGCCTTAAATGAATTATTAAAATTTTTTATATTTTTAAATTAATTTAATATAAATAAATTAAATATACTAAGATTATTAAATCTAATTCTTTATTAATTAAAGAATTTTTAATTATATATATATTCATTGAATATTCATTGAATTATTTGGTGAAAAATTTAAATATTCGAATATTCATTTGATGAAAAAATTATTATTCGAATATTCGAATATTCAATGAATATTCGAATATACTATTCATCGGATCAGACCTCTAATTACAAACATAACGCAGATCATATCGATATCGATATACGTATAGTAAAATTCTAATAATAAAGTGAATTAAAGTATCTTTTTATTGTTTAAATTACCAAAATTATATTCTGAGTTATTTTTTTAAAGTAAACATTGGATTAAATTTTCGTTCAAAATTTAGGCCTATAAAAAAAAAGCTGTGGTCAAATTTTTTTTTTAATTTTAATGAATATTATTAACAACCAGCAATTATTTTAATTCTGTAACTCAGAATTAAAATAAAAATAAATTCATCAAATCCGGATACAGTATCTGTTTGTCGAGAAATCTTCATTAAAGATTAAATAAAACTTGAAACATTTCTAAAGTTTTTTTTAAAAAAACCTTTAAACGAAGATTTCTCGACAGCCAATATCAGAATTTGATGAATTTTTATTTAATTCTATGAACCCACAGAATTAAATAAAAAATTCATCAAAATTCGGATAGCTGGTTGTCTAGAAATCTTTGTTTAAAGTTCAAAGAAAGCCGATTTTAGTTTTTTTGATATTTTGTTTTTTTAAAAAAATTTTTTTAGTAATGATTTCTTGATGACACTAAACGAAATTCAGTGGACTCTCTTTTGTTTTATTGAGAAACATTCGCTAGATGTTTAAAAAAGGCTTCGCTAAGAATACCCCATGATTATCCGATGTTCATCGATCATCGGGGAATTTCGTAAGATGCCAGCTTTAAACGACCCTATTTACAGTAATCGTTGTAGATCTTCACTTACATAATAAGCATCATGTCCAACAATTTAAATCTACAAACTATACCTACAGAATCTCTTGATCTTGCTCTCATTCTACACAGTAGCATAGCGAACTTTCATTGTGATTGGTTAGATTTTGGTGATCATCCCGTGATTTTATTGGCCGATCGACCAATCAAATCGTGAGATGATTGTAGAATAACGACGGTACGTAGTATTAATATTGGTCTTTAAAGTTTTACTTAAATATTAAGACACATCATTATG